AATTTTTTTTTTTCAAATTAAAGTACATTACATTAGCTTTAATTTAAGATATATATAAAAGTGTCAGACCTTCCGGAACATTTTCAAAAGTTAAGTTGAAAAAGTTAATTTTTTGTGAAAAAGTTGTCATTTTAAATCCCCTCCTGTGGGCAGAAAAAAGGCCAAATTTACAAAAAAAAATATACCAAATGATAGGTAAAGACATCAAGCATCTATAAAAAAAATTATATTTATATGTTTATTTTTANTATAAAAAAAATTATATTGATATGTTCATTTTTAAAAAAGTTACGGCAGTTTTTAGTAAAAAAAATTGAAAAAATTTAGAAAATTAACGATTTTTAAATTTGTAATTTTTTTGGAGGTTTCCTCCATTTACGGGGAACGAGAGATATTTTTTCAATTTTTGAGGGTAATGTCTTCGACTAGATACAATTTGTGATCTTCCGACATATCGTTAAAAGAAATCCGTTCGGTGAGAGCTGAGAAAAAGTGGTAACAGACACAAAAAAAAAAACACATCATAGTAAAACCAATACCTTCTCAGCTTCGCATCGAAACTAAAAACTTAACCTAAAAAAATTTAGTTGAATTTATCAGTGTGAACATTTAAAAAATCCTCTCAATTTTAGAAATTTAAATGAATAATTTAAAGTTATCAAAGCTATTTAGCTACCATGAAAAGTAGCATTTTCAAACATCTTTTTTTTTAATTATAAAACTGCTATAACATTTTTTCTTAAAAAACAATCAAATTGAAATTAATAATTTTAATTAAAAGAGTACACAGAGATAACAAGTTTTCTTTTGGTATGCTTTTTATGAAAACTGACAGAAACCTATGTACAGAAAAAATTTAAAGAGACCAATCATGTATGTAAATTTTTTTTTCAACTCGATTATCTGTCACTTCTAACTTATAAGACATTAAATCTTTTTAATGTACTGTAATATTGAAAAAATGAATAATTATTTCAACGATTGTTCTACTATGAGATATCAGCCACAAAGTGAAAAAATAATGTTATTTACAATTAAGCAAATAATTTAACAAGCATTCATTGATTGAGTGAAATTTTAAATCATAGAAATTGTGAAATTACAAGTTTACATTATCATTATTATTAATTTTTCTATAAGCTAAGTAATATCGTACATTTAGGATCCCCTCCCTTCCATCACTAGATGCGGCCCTGATTATTGGTACTCGAGTTTTTTTGAAATGCATTATAATTATGTATCTGAAATTTTATTCATTATTTTTTGATATAGGCTCGAATTAGATAAGAAGCTACTGTAGAAATCTCGAGGTCACAGTAATTAGAATCTTTAAGTAAATATTCGGGTCAATTATATTATTATATGTGCGGTGTTCAGTAAGTAAGAAAAAAAGTTTCTATTGTACTCATTGTTCGTAACAATTTCCTTACTTTTTGAATACCCTGTAAAATTAATATTAAATATTGTAGCGATTCGTCAAAGTCTGATGTGCCATTTCTTTTAAGAGAGCAAAACAAATTAAAAGGCATAGTAAACAAAAAGTGTCCCGTCCATCATTGGCCTACCCAAAAATCATCTTTGATATTCGTTTATTAATATCGTTTAGATATTAATATTAAATTTCAATTTAATTATAAAATTTTGTTGCGTTCCTTAATTTTTATTTATAGATACACTGAAAAATATAACTTTTGGTTGAACAGAAATAAAAAAATTGTATGTATGATAACTTTTGGTTATAGAACTCGTTTTGATGTAGAAAAGACAGAGATATTGGCCAGAATTTTTATTTATACTCCTCTACCTCAGTTTTAAAATCACAAATATTAATGACACGACGTATTGCATGTTGTGCATGCGAGAGGGCCGCTGCTGATCTTTGTTTGTTTGGAGAAGCAACAGTTGACGATTGTGTGGCTCACGCGCGCTGAACTCACAGCGGCGTATATCAGTCAGTTGTCACGCGGCAATCGGTCTAGTACGAAGTCTCACGTGTAGTTCTGCCGTCGCGAGTTCTGCCAGTGTAAATGTTTTCGGGTACTAGTTGACGTAGTATTATTAGGCATTACACTGAATGTATTACGATACCTTTTTGGATCGCTCTTCCTTAACTGTCAACAAGGACATTCGATGATTGGCGTTTTGGACGGACCTAACGATAAAATGACTGATGTTTAAATGTGCAATACTCGTAGTCATCTGCAACCGATTTGGATACCAGAGTAATCATAATATATATATTTTTTTAATTGAACAAATTATTCACTGTCCTTCCTTGCAATAAAAAAAGTATTCTTTTAAAAATCATATCTTGAATTAATCAAAATAATAATCAAATATAAAATTTAAAAAAATATATACCGATTGATATAAATTGTTACGTTAACTCATTGCAAATCGAATTATTTTTTCCAGACATCTATAATTTATAAATATATATATACATATAAATATTTATCAATCATATTCAATACTTATTAGATAATATACAACACTAAAACATAACGGATATATATCGAGTAACAAAAAAAATAATAGTTTCGTACTTTGATCGACGATTAAATAATGATAATATATATTATTTCAAGTTCTACTTGCATGTATAACAACTACTAAGTAAGGTTATTTTAATCAAAATAAAACTAAATAGACTTGGCTACACAGTGGCGTCTTAATGATTACATAAATTCAATGGACTAAAGCTCAGCGAAATGACATCTAATCTTGCGTGAAACACAGTAAGGCCCGGAAAACATTATAATTACTAGGAAAAACTTTAAAGTTTAATACACCCTGAGTTTAAATGGTCACGTGACACTTGCATTATTTTTAAATGTTCAGCGCTCAAAAATTAATGAGAAAAAAGAGGTTTTTGGTATGAATATATTTAAATAATTAACGTGTCCTTATTAAGAAAGCATGGGAACATTTTTTATTCATACTGAAATTCAGTTGCAAGTGAGACTTTTTAAGTGTGCTTGTACAAATGACACCATTAAAGTTAATTAAAAGTAAGGTTAAAGTGTACAAATATCTAATGCCTTCACAATAGAAATAAAATTTCTATTTCTAAAAAAATAATCATTGTATCGTATTGAATTGACTTAAAACACATTTAATTATACTACTAATAATAATCTACAGTTCAAGTTGTAATTGAGTTGAATATTGTGCAGTTAAGAAAAAATTTTAGCTTACACTTTTTTTTTGTGTAGTTAAAATTTACTAGAAATATATAAAATATAAATAAAGTTATAGTGTTTAGTAAGTAAGTAAAAGGGTTTGTATTGTGTTTTATTATTGTTTTTATCAAAAAAAAAATTAAGGGGCATCACATAGACATTGCTCCAAGTGTCTGAAACTCTTAATAAGCCACTAATTCAAAACGTATGGTTTTATAATATTTTTTATTGTGTAGGTGAAAAAAATTCTTAGACTTTACCTTGCTATAATTATATTGTTATAGCGGTTTCGTTAATCTCGTCATCTGACATTTCACTATATTTTTAAGAAAATTCAAATTGATAATACAAAAAAAAAAAATGTTATAGATACTCAGGATTTTAATGATGTTTTTACGAGACAAGCCACAATATTGTTGTGATGTATATTTTATTTTTGCACGCACATATTAGGACATTAAATGTCTATAAATTGTGCATTATATAAGAAATAATCGAGACTATCATTGTAAAATAAAATTTTGAGTGTTATTGTTATTATTTTTAATATAAATAAAATACAAATGCTTAGTAATAATTACTGTAGGCATACAGCAGGTGCCTATATTTTGAGAAAATATTAATTTTACGACCATATTCCACAATGTACTATAATAGAGACGTTGTTGATAAAAATTAAAGTCATTAAAAAAAATTAAAAACCAAATGAGCTCTTAAAACAGTATTTATTTATTGATAAAACAGTCAAGTATTCCTTAAATTATTGTTTACCAACATTTTAAAGTAAGAAAAATTGTTCGAGTGTTTCATTATTTAATAATGAGTACAATAAAATTTTATTGTACCTAAAATGTACTTAAATTAATTCAAGTACATCTTTTAAACTAAAAGTTAATTTATTTTATACCAACAAATATTATTTAATTAAATATGTAAAAAATATACATGTTAACATTGTAATTAGCTTTGACAATGAACTTGCTTTAACTTTCTAAATTACTATTGTAACACCTAACGGAATAACAACAAAATATTCTAAAAATTATTTCCAATATTTTAAAAAATAATGTGAAAAGTTGTTAATATCCATACCTTAACCACGTAAATATAATTAAATTTTAGAATTAGATATAATAAGTAATAATACAAGGTTTTATTATACGAAGGATAAAAACGCTAATATTATGAATTTAATTGTTTTCAATTTTTTTTTTGACTATATGAATCATTCATAAAAGAAAGAAACATTTTATATTCTGGTAATGCTTTTATTGAATTCCATATGGTATTTTATTTCGATTACTTCTTTTGATCTTTATATCAAAACAAAATAGTTTGCTTTTTATACAAGTTAAAAACAAATACAACAAATGTTTTTATTTTGTGTTAATTTGTGTCAATTTTACAATCAATTAATTATAATAAAATTTTTTAGATTTTTAGATTGTCACAAAATACCACATAAAAATAATTATTAATATGTTGTATTAAACTACGTAAATTATTATAGGTCTCTTTTTTACAATTGATTTATTGTTATGATGTACAATAATCGTTTGTAATAGTTATGAGTGAACAATTTATTTGTTAATTTTAATGACTCAATTAGTTTATTTTTTATTATTCTGTATTTATTTATCGTCTACGCTAAAAATACATAATGATAATGTGAAAAACGTATGTTGAAAACTTTTAATAAAATACTGTACAATTTAATAATGAATTGTTCGTGAATCAAAAATACTTGAAATAATTAAAAATATATACATATGTGTTAATAATCAATACAGCAATTGCGATAAAAATGTTATGTTAGATTCATTGTAAACTCATTAACATGTATGTAATTAAATATTCTGTATTAAAAAAAAATAATCAAACAAATAAAATTGAACAGGTGCAGTTGATGTTTCAAACAACTTAATTTATGTTTAAGTGTTTTAATTATTATATTTCTCTTATATTCTTTTTTTATGATTTATATCAATCACTTAACTTATTTTATCAATTATGACCGATTTTCAATTAATTAATACCTAATAAGTTATTTACAAATATTTATTTAGTTTAAAACAAAAATTATTTTACTAACATTAAAAAGAAAATTCTCTAGATAAGATTTTATATCTTTATTTACATAAACACAGTTTCGAACTACTAAAGTAGTTTATGATTAGCATTATAATAATTGTCTACAATAGAACTACTCGTATATACGTGGAATTATTAGGAACATCCAAAAGTATGTTTAATTGTTTTAAAAAAATAATGAAAATGTTAAATCATTTTTTTAATTATTTTGATCATTTTTGTAGATGTGTAATAATTTTCCTAAATAACTACTATTCTTTCAAAGTATTATAATGGTGTTATAGAAGTTTGAATAGCTATACAACAAAAAAGAAAACTTTTTACTTGTTCCACTTTCGTTTTAACGTCTAAAATTTATATTGCATAAACGCGTTATTTTAAGTTAATTCATATTAAAATTATTTAGAAAATGACAAATACATTAGTCCCCAATTTATCACATGAAGTAAAAGAATCGGACTAAATTATTTATTATTCGAGTTAAATATTCTAATACTTCACTGCTCACTTATATCGATAAAAATATGAAAAACAAAACAATTGAATTTATGACTTTAAATATTTGTATTTATCAATATATTTTAAATATTAGTTGGCCATTATAAGAAATACTTAGTTTACTTTTTATCGATTATTGTATAATTTTTTTAAAGTTCAAATTTAATAGAACGACTGATTAGTCGGACTAAACCTTTATTATTCTCTTTAAAGAAAAAACATTTATTTGTCAACGGCTGTTAGTGACATAATAGTATTTTAATTTTAAAATAAGTAAGATGTTTTAAATCATTTAAATATTTGTTTTTCCATACCAGTAGTTAGGCTGATTTAATGATCTGTCATCGATAAACGAAAAATATTATGTTAGTTGAGTTAAGACCCAATGTTTTGAAATTCATCTTTTGTATAAACTTTCACTAATAGAATGATAATTCTCTTAATAAATTACTAATATCACAAAGACAGATTATTTATCTTGTCCAGAGAGTTTTTTGTTAATCAACAAATTAGACTGTAAGCTATTAAAAAAAAAAAAAATTCGTGAACCAGTAAAAGAAGAAAAACAACCGGCCAGTAAAAATATCACAATTATAATTATTTACAAAATAAATTAAAGATATAAATATAGAATAAGTTAATAAAAATTACCAAGTTTTGGTTTGAAGCGTATATCTAGTATTCAATTTATGTCGAAAATCAAAATAACTAATTATTTATTTAATGAATGTTGTATTTAGCTATACTTACCGAATGTTGTTATTCTATATGTTTTTATATTATTTCGTTATTAAATTAATCATATAATACGCGAACTTAAAAAATAAAAATGGATATTTAATATATTGGTTAGATAAATTAAATGTTTGAATAATCCTTAAAAATATTATAAGTTATATTAAAGCTTTATACAATTATAATTCTATAATGTTCAGCTATACATTAATGCAACTAAGAACAGTATATTGAATGGAAACTATAATGAAGTATATATGCGCTGAAGAAACCTAACAGGAGGCGTAGGGTCTCCTTTAAATAGGTTTCTGTTGAGATACTATAGTATGGATCGTTAATATGTTACTAAATGGAAACTCATCTCTTAAAGGCAATCTTTCACCTGTTAAACGTATTCTCCAGTAACTGATATTAAGAAAACTACGGATCTAAAAGAAATCAATAAAAAGTTATCAATAATATTTTCAAACGTCACATTATTTATTTTAAAACGAAGTTTTAAATTTTTCGTATTAAAACAAATAATATAACTAAAATATTAATAAAGTAATACTGATATTGTTATAACTATATTCCCCGTATTATTTATATTAGTATACTAATTATTATTTATATTGATTCATTATTTTCTATAGAATTTATGATTTAGTATAGTTAAAAATAAAATAATACCTTAATATAGTAATACGAACAGAATTTTTTGAGGAAGAAATGTT